AATTAAATGAAGATAATACCTTACATTTTATAAAAACAACCTGTCTACAGTTATACAAAGCTGAAATGCTGATTTTTTTTAAATGCGATGATTTCAACTCTCTTTTTTATGAATAACAAAAGAATTATTCTAATAAAATGTACATGACGAAATGTAAGAACAATTTGATAATTTTAATAATAATCAGAGAGAAAAAGAATTAAAACTATATATAGATAATTGGAATAAGGAAGATAAATATCCGCAATCACCCTCGCTACATTTACTCTAGAGTCATTGATTTTCGAGGAAACTTATTTTCATGTTTCTGAGATAAATTATAGTTTCGTGGATATGTGATTTCAGGGTTTTGCCAAATTCTATATATGAGCATAATGAATTTTTTACTGTGTTGATCATTTAAATTCATGGTTGATCTATACCCACTTTATTATTTACAGATTATCAAATGAGTAAAATGGACGAAGAGATGTCGCGAAAGATTTACTAGTATTTATGTAATAACATTGGAACAGAGGAAGTTGTGAAAACAAGAAGAAAAATATTCTGTGCATTAGATAGTGTCATACAACCCACAAATATTTCAGTTTTAAGTAGTGGGAGTAAAGCAGAAGGTTTAGATCTCAAGGGCAGTGATTATGATCACATGCATGTTTATGAAATGTTTCAGGTTTACGAAAACAAGAGAAAAGTGTCATTCTTTGCAAATAAAATACCTATAGTAATGGACATCAGTGACACAAAATCAGGATTTACGAAGCTCAAGCTGTATAACAAAAGACACGTATCGGATATAAGCCAGTGGGTGGAGATTGTAGAAGGAAAAACCTACCTTTCAAGTAAGTTATTTCGAGAAGACGGTTTGTTAGATAATATGATTATTCATGGACCATGCCAATCAGTTCGAAGTGAGACTTATGATTGTGCATTTTGTTTGAGGTGTAAGGAATGGATAACACCTGGTCGCCAATGGGTTTTCAGATCCAGATCGGCATGGCCAAATGATAGATTAGTGAAGTCAGCTGTAAAGTTCGGCGTTATATTCGTACCTATCGGTTGCAAAGGATCCGTAAATAAAGGTTTAGAATGGCGGATGTCATTTTCTATGGCAGAAAAGCAACTTATTTATTCCTTTTCTCATACCCAGTTATTTTGTTACGGATTGATGAAAATTGTGTTGAAAGACATTATTAAGAAGAAACACAGTGATCTTATCTGTTAGTATTTTCTTAAAACTATGATGTTCTGGTTATGTGAAGAATCAAGTCCTTCAACATGGCATCATGGGAATATGATACCTTGTTTTATCAGTTGTATAAAACGACTGATTTACTGTGTTGAATATAAAACTTGTCTTCATTATTTTATTCCAGAAAACAACCTATTCGAGGGCAGATTTACTGAAAACAAACATAAATGTTTACTTGATACATTGCATGATATATACAATTCATTATGGACTTACATTTTCTATACGGATACATTTCAAAGGATCATAGAAGAACAAAGAATTTCATTATCACCTTATTTGACAGCATCTTCACTGTCATGCTTATCATACACGAGATTTTTTTGCATTCATTTTGTTCAACAAACAGGAAACACATCATCACAACCATAGTTAATATGAATGATACAGAACTATCTATATACATTATGTCACTGGTTTCAAAGCACTGGATGCAATCACCAGGTGGTAACAGCTTTATAGGAAGAAACAAATTGGTGTACAAACAATACAAGAAATGTTTACAATGCTTCAAGGCGGGGCTATATCACAATGCTATTTCCCTTTGGTCATTGTTGGCTTCTTTATTTTATCAACAAAAGAGATTCCACGAATGTATAGATATTGTACACTTTGTTAAAATTCACTCCTGATAAAATTATATCATATTTAAATAATAGCTTGTCGGACCAGACTTATTTCCAGATAGTAAAAGACGACTTCGGTTTGTTATTTACTTGCAAACATTTAATCATTTTTGCAATGTCGTTTTCGGAACCGTATAACTTATTGCCAGTAGAATTTTCCTATTGTATCAACGAGTATGGTTTAATTGTTCAATTTCCTCCTGTTGTGTATCTGATTATGCTTTCGTTTTTGTGTTTTCATCATCTTAGAGATAACAGAGGAAAACAATGTGCCTTTCGAAAACTGGAACTAACACTCAAAAAAGAATATAATTATATAGATTCGAATTGTGAGCAATATGAAAACGCAATTAATTGTCTCCAAATTGCTAAAAATATGATGTGATTGTTATTCTGTTGTGATTTGGAACTGGCATTTCCTAATGTGAACATTGTAAATTAAATCTGGTTGTTATAGCTGGCGAAATCACTCACTTGTATGACACGGACGCAAAGTGTGTGACAAACTATGAACAGGCTAAATGGTGGCCTTCGACTGTTTTCGGCTTTACTCCGGATGATGTTTTTTTAACACATTCCCCATTTCACTCTCAATTTTAATGTTTATTAAACGTTTATAGAATTATTTCCAGTATCATACTTAAATTGGGTCGAAGAAAGTATGATGTTGGCAAGCAAGCAGGTCCAAAAAAAAAAAGAAAACCGTTAACTTTAAACTAAAATAATTCTAGTGAGCGCAGATACCACGGATTGTATAATACTAGCATTCAATTGCTTATGGGCTGTAACTATCAAAATCGAAGTTTCAATAAAATGAGATTGAGCAGTTTAATCAAAATTACATGAAATCCCTACTTTCCATCTTACGTGGATACAACTTTTGCATGAACAGTAGATGTCATAACAATTTAAATCCAAATTGACTTGTATTTTATATTTCAGTGAAATTAATCATCATTCACAAACAAAACGTGTAAAGGACGGATAAGTGCAAACATTACCATGTGTATTGGTTTATAATTGTTACTATGTTAAATGTACACATTTTTTTTGGTTTTGTGTGAATCATTCGAGGTTTGCTTTTGGTGCAGTCAAATTTTCCCACTCTCCTACCTAACTAAATGTATTTTTAAATAATGTGTATAAGAATTGAATCTTAATTTTATTCATAACTTGTATTTGGGTACATAATGAAATTAGACGAGCTGATCCAATACAGAGGTGTAAAGTTAATTTTGTAAATATTTATGTGTTCTTTTGAATTTACGAAAAAGAACATAAGATTACGAAGTATCTTAATATGAACAGGTTGTATGGTAAAATGAATCGCATACTCGAATAGTAGAATAACGTAGAATATAGGGTTATTCCATGCATGTACACAGAGATAGACAACTTAAGCCTCCATTTAGTGCATGATCATCAACTTCCGCAACTTCTGTTGTGAAATCATGTACGTGTCATCCAAGCAGGATAAAAGTCAAGAGTGGAAACATACGTTACTTTGATATGTTAAGTCCGAAAAGTTTGTATGGATGACTGTGCATTGACAGGTCAAATGTCTCCTAGTATGCACAATTAATTACACAAGTTTCTATCATTTTTAGAAACAATGACAAGAGTGCACACGCTGAAATGTCTCGCCTTCTTTACTAATCATTGATATTATGTTGATAGTCCTAAATATTAAGCTTTATTACAACTGTCACATAAACTTAACATTAACCAAGAAAACTAAACATTGACCAATGAACCATGAAAATGAGGTAAACATCAGATGAACCATGCCAGGCAGACATGTACAGCTAACAATTCTTCCATGAAACAAATATAGTTGACCTATTGCTTATAGTTTAAGAAACACAGACCAAAACACAAAAACTTAACACTGAGCAATGAACCGTGAAAATGAGGTCAAGGTCAAATAAAACCTGCGCAACTTTCATGTACATCATAAAATATTTCCATACACCAACTATAGTTGACTTATTGCATTAAGTACTAGAAAAAAAAGGCCATGACCACTGAACCATGAAAATGAGGTCAAGGTCAGATGACACATGCCAGTTGGACATGTATACCTTACAGTCCATCCATACACCAAATATAATAGACCTATTGCTTTTAGTATCTGAGATATGGACTTAACCACCAAAACTTAACCTTGTTCACTGATCCATGAAATGAGGTCGAGGTCAAGTGAAAACTGTCTGATGGGCATGAGGACCTTGTAAGGTACGTACATACCAAATATAGTTATCCTATTTCTTATAATAAGAGAGAATTTAACATTATTTCATTGAACCATGAAAATGAGGTCAAAGACATTGGACATGTGACTGACGGAAACTTCGTAACATGAGGCATCTATATACAAAGTATGAAGCATCCAGGTCTTCCACCTTCTAAAATATAAAGCTTTTGAGAAGTTAGCTAACGCCGCTGCCGGATCACTATCCCTATGTCCAGCTTTCTTCAACAAAAGTCGCAGGCTCGACAAAAACTACATAATATGTGTATTTAATATTCAGAATTGGGATTGCATATACTAGTTCTAGGGTGTCAAGCAACAAGAACAAAATTGAAATGGCACATTAAATAAACACAAACTCTTTAATTATTGAAACGGAAGTTTTATTTATATAATAACATAGTAGATTATTAACAAAATCCTGATAATTTCCTTCTTCTCTGTAAGTTTGTATGTAGTATGTGTCAAGTCTCTTTAGTTTATATTTTAACATCATTTTTATCAGTTTTTTTTTTATCTTAGTTCCATAACTAAAATAACAATATATAAAACACACAACACTAATCTGTTCCCGTATGATCTTATTCTCCTCCATTTGAATTTTGTGTGCCTTTAATTAAATTCTTATTTTTTAAGCTGTTCAAATGAACAAAAATTTAAATGAGATCAGAACAAGAACACATCACATCACATCATTGGTAAATTGTTTTTATCAGTCTTATTTTTCACTTTAAACTCTTCAATGCGTAAACAAAGTGTAGAAATGAAACAGAAGCATTTCCCCCAAAGACAATAAGCATGGGAAGAAAAAAAAAACTACTGTCATAACACAAACTCAAAATTTTACACATATTTTACATAATTATACAATTTTTGGTTTTTTTTTTAACATAATATATTACATTTTTTATTTAACAGCTTCACCACACAATGTAGCTGTATATTTTCATATTAATTCCAACAATTCAGGATAAATTTAATAATAATTTGTTTACATACTTACCTGTTTAAAAAATCCAGTATATAATGAGCAGTTTTTCTCAATTCATATTTTGTTCTCTTTTTTTACAATATTTTTCATAATTTTCATTACAAGATGGAACCTTTTAAAAGAGGTTTACCAATGGAGATAATTAAAACAAGATTTTCACTCGCTAACCGGTTACACTGAATGTTTTGAATCCTTATTTAGATAATAATTTGAAACCGTTTTCTCAAGAAATAAGTAATTTCACTAATCTTTGATAAATAAAGTAGTTTAAATTGTGAAATTTTCCTCAATTGTCTGAAATATATAAAAACTTAAACTGGTTAAATAAAGTTAATGGAACACATCAACAGCTATGAAATGTTGATATAAATGTAATGTTACATGAACAATGTAAACCATATACACTCCTAATATGTGTATACAAAAGTGGTCAAGAAGTGTGTTGCTGTACATTTAAATTATTTACCGTACTATTTTGACTTATAAAGGAAATAGTTTTGTACATTGAACATTTGTTCCATTCAGGACAATATTCTTCCTTGACTTATTTGTTTTGCTGTTACAACACTTCGTCTCATTTTCAAGATAGTGTGCCTCATTTCAAATATTTCATATATTGTTGTGATTGGTTAAAAATGTGTAAAATAACAGATTTTCAAATAATACTTTTTCAAATATTACATGAATTCTGAAATAAGCCATGAAATGCTGACAAGAGCTTCAAACCAATTGTATAAAGTGAGATGTAATGGTTATTTCTAACAAATTTTGGAATAAAAAACAATCCAAATTATATAACTTCATGATAAATGTACAATAATAATAAACAAGTGGGCAAACATATCTAAACAAAAGCTCTGACAATACAGTTTATAAATGCTTGTAGTCATGGTAACTAGAAAATCTGTCCAATCATCTGCCCTTATGATCTACTCTATTTTGTTTTCCATGGTACCCTATTTAGTTTGCCGCTTCATTGGCAGGTGTAGTTTCTTTGGCTTGATGGGCTTGCAGTACAGCAACGGCTTCATTTACCTGACAAATATATATCATTTCAACTTTTGTTGAACAATTGACACAAATGGTAGATTATTTACAGCGATGTCGAGAATTACTGCATACAACAAATGCTATCAACATTGACAAACCTGTTGTGATTTTTAACAACAAAATAATCATGGTAATAATGTCTTAATTTATTTACAGTATTTGGATAAAAACAAGAATCTATCCATAGTACACGGATGCCCCACTTGCACTATCATATTCTATGTTTAGTGGACCGTGAAATTGGAGTCAAAACTCTAATTTGGCATTACATTAGAAACATTATCATGATTATATCATAGGCAACATGTGTACTAAGTTTCGCGTTGGTTGGACTTCAACTTCATCAAAAACTGCCATGACCAAAAACTTTAACCTGAAACGGGATAGACGGTTTATTAATGGGAATGAGAAACACCTTATCCTTTGATGGATGAGGGAAAACCTTAGATTTGCCATTTCTTTTTTTTTTCTAATTCATACAAATTGTCGGAGAAAAAAGCTAATTGTTTTTCAATGCTTTTACAAATGTTAAATATGTATTGACTGTCACAGTGGGCTGGTAGACAATGCAAAATCCATCTAAATGGTAGTGTACCATATGATAAATTACACTAAATATACAGTTAAACCTGAACGTAAGTGTACCATGTGATAAATTACACTAAATATACAGTAAAACCTGAACGGTAGTGTACCATGTGATAAATTACACTAAATATACAGTTAAACCTGAACGGTAGTGTACCATGTGATAAATTACACTAAATATACAGTTAAACCTGAACGGAAGTGTACCGTGTGATAAATTACACTAAATATACAGTTAAACCTGAACGGTAGTGTACCATGTGATAAATTACACTAAATATACAGTTAAACCTGAACGGAAGTGAACCATGTGATTAATTACACTAAATATACAGTTAAACCTGAACAGTAGTGTACCATGTGATAAATTAAACTTAATACTGTAAACCAACTTATTTTCGCGAATTTCGCCAGTAGAAAAATAACGCGAATATAAATCGTCGCAAACATGTAAAACTTGAATCTTTCCTTAATAAACTACATCAAGTAAAAAAGAAAATCGCGAAATTAAATAGCCGCTGAGTAAATTTGAAAGGGTAAGGCGCGAAATAAAGTATCTGCGAAAATAAGTTGGTTTACAGTATACAGTTAAACAGAGGTTTTCTACACAGTTCTTCTTTTAATAATTTGTCCTACAAACCTTAGCCTCTAGTGACTCCTTGGATTCCAACATTTGTAAAAATTCAGAGTTGTCTATTTCCAGTAACATTCCAGTGATCTTTCCAGCCAGATCTGGGTACATACTTTGGATCAGAGGGAACAGACGTTCTCCTAACATCTGCTGTTGTTCCTGTTGAGGGGCATCAGCTAACATGGTAGAGGATAGAGGCTCCTGACCTTGAACTTGAATCACTCCTCCTTGGGTTTGAGGCTGAAACAGAATTATATTTATATATGTGTTAATACTGGCAGTCAATAATGTATTTCTAAGGGACACAATATTTTTTTATCATGTACAGACACTGGATAATTTTCATTATAAATTCTTCAAATGAAGCTGTATTCACTTTCTGTTTCTTTCAATCTTTCATTCTTAATTTTCATCTGGTGCAATTTTACTAAAATTAAGATTTTCCTTCCAATAGAAAAACCAAATAACCTGTTTATTTTTTATGAGATGCCACAACTTGATCAATTTTGTAAAAAAAAAGTTTTAAAATCTAAAGAATGTCATACTGTAAATTCAGAAATTATTAAGTGCATTTATTATTGCGAATTTTAAAAAATGAACAAAAATGCTAGTTTAATTATTGCTATTTTAGGAAAAGCTTCATGAATTTACAGTAATTCAACAGCACAATTGTTTAACTATGATTCACATAAATCTACCTTTATACAAAAGAAGTTGAAGAGAACATGAAAACTTACGAATGCTATATTTCCAAGATCTCAAAATAAATAAATGAAATCTTCCTTTTTACAAACCATTGCATTAACTTCACTAAAGGTACAGAATGTTGGATCCATGTAAAATCAAATTATCGCAAAGAATAGACCCTTTAATTGAAAACAAAACATGCTAATTCCTTAGTATGCCTATCTGTGGCATAACCATGTTTTAATGACCAATGCATTGAAAAACCTCAGAGTTCATGACCAATAAAACATCCAATTTTCATTCGGAATTAGACCTTTAGTTGGCACAGATAACAAACTGTATCTACCTGTGGCATAACCATGTTTTGCTGTCTTCCAGCTTTAGGTTGGTTTCTCATCTGTATAGCTGAATACCTACTGGCTGGGTTGAGTACTCCGGATGGGGGAGGCACTCGTCCTCTGCCTGGTACAGACTGTAGCATGCGAGATGGTTGTCCAGTGCCAGACTGTCCTGTGATTGGACGAGCATTCATTCCGCCACGGATGTTGCTTTGACCAGGTTGTCTTCCTCTAACGACAGCAGGATTGCCAGGTCTAATCTGTTGTCCAGGCATATTCTGGAATCCTGAAATAGGAAGATTCCCTGTTGTACGAAGCTGAATGGTAATGACTATGTTAACAAAATGAATGGACTTATCTGACTCAAGGGCAATAAACTACTAAACAATATTGTTATTTATTTACTTATATTTGCCTTTACATTAAAATTAAAATAGGCAAAACAAGATGAACTGTAAGCTACTGTGGATTCATTAATTTTCGTGGGTACCAAATTTCGTGGATTGAGAAAGTTTTGTATTTTCGTGGATATTTGATTTCCTGGTTTTACTAAGGTTTCATGCAGGCCTATACAAAATTTGTACTTTGTTGAACATTTAGATTCGTTGTTCGCCTGTTACCACGAAATCAACGAAAATTGACTGAAATGAGGTTCTCTCTAAAGGCGAGTCCATGAGTCCGTGAAACTCTGTCTGGACTCATCATTTTCAAAACTTTTGAGTCCAAGGATGCATCTAGATTGTAAAGTATTGGAACACCTCAATACACATTTTATAGCAAAAGTTTAAATGTAATCTAAGTATGTAACATTTCCATGCTTTATTTTGTCATGGAGAAGGAAATAATAAATGAAATAGTTTTTTTTCACTGCTTGACTAGCCATGTCCAAAAATGATGAATCTCTAGACTTGCCTTCAAAAATACTTAGTGAAACTGTGATATATATGTGATATTTTACTGAAAGACTTTGTTCTGTACTATGAGAATCATTACTTTGTTAATTAGTAAAAGTGGGAAGTTGAAGAGCAATGGATTTTAAAACACATCACAGAATAGCATTCTCTAATGAAGCTCGATACCAAATTTTAAGGAATCTCCTATCAGTAGTTGCCAGAAAAGTCAATTTTTTTTAATGTTTCATACAAGGTCATTGGGGCCAGGATAAGTACTCAGTTAACAGGTAACTGAAAAGCGATGAGTGTATTACATAAGCTTACTATCATATTTCAGGAAGCTCTGTTTTGCACTTTCTGAGGAAAATTTCTTCATTGCCCTTTCTCAACATCTTCTTATTTTTATACATACCACTAGCTGGTGTGGGCTGTCTTAGCTGTGTTGGCCATCTTGGACTTGCCCTCATCTGTGGCACATGTGTTGGGGCATAGAAATTTCTCTGTCCCTGTGTCATGGTAGGAAGGATATACTCAGGTCCAGCTGATGGGAACATCTGACACACCATACCGGCAGCAGGCTGTCCCTAAAATGATACACAATTCAAGCATGTAAAAACACATAAAAAATATGAAGCTTATAATATTTTAAGCCAGACGATGTTATCTACATAACACTCATAAGTGATGTTTTAATAATCATAAAAAAGCCGGAAAGCCCATTCGAATAAAACACTCAGCAAAAAGACATTTTATCTTTTACTGAGGGTAGAAAAATGTACGTGCTCCAAAATATACGACAGAACATTTTCAGAACATTACCATGTCAATGATAGTTCATGTCAGCATACAGTGTAATAGTTGACAATAGATCCATACCAAATGGCAAACTTACATTTACGGTCTAAGGTTGTACATGTTGTACAGCTTACCGAAACATTGTCCGATAGATATTTTAATAAACTACCAGTAACATCAGATTTGTGTGCTCTGTTGATAACATGTGACATTTTGTCTCTGTAACAAATCACACTGTCGTTCGGATATTGTTCACAGTTCCGTCATTTTGAAGCTATTCATTTATATGACTATCATAATTTGACAAAAAAAAACAAATTTGTCAAATATGGGTATTCTTCGTAACTTGAGTAACTTAATGAATAGTTCAACAAATTTAGAAGTTTAGGGAAAAAATACTTGCAAAGTCAGATGATTGATTTGTTGTTGAATATCAAACAGTATATCAGCAAAATGAGCACGAAGTGGGCGACCTATATTTGCTAACCACTACGTCATTTGGTCTCTAGTGGAGTGTTGTCCTATTGTAAATCATTTTACAGCTTCTTATTTTTATATTAGGGATATCAAAAGATCTGATTTTTAATACTTGACTACTCGGTCATCATACTCGCGAGTACTCGAGTACTCGGATAAATCTTTAACGTCTAGTGAAAAGTTTTAATTTTTTTTTGGATGTTGTATTTTGGTTATTACCTTTCATAAAAAAAATATAATATGAAGACATCCTTAAGAAAGACATACGCATTATTGCAGAACTCAAACTGTATGATTCCAAAATATAATTTAATCCTTGGTTATGTGTATCGCTAGTTCTTTTTTGTGTCAAAAGAACAATGATTAACGGACCACAGTTTCTTAAAAAAAAAAACCTATTACAATAGCAATTATTGTTTGTGTGTTCATGAACCAAATCAGAATTATGCCAATAAAACCATCAATTAATATGTTCATTAAGTCCAACTTTATAGACAATCTGTATCATCTTTTCCTTTGGAGTTAGTATTTTTTTTATAAAACGACTTGTCTCATAATTTGTCATCAAAATATTGGACTTCAATTTACTTATACGAAACGATATTTAATTATAAATTAAACAGACATTTCTTATATCAAATGAAGATCTCATACCAATCACGTTTACAAAGAGGTATTGATTAACAAACAAAAGTAAGGATATTTCAAAGTGAACTAAAGTGAGGGAAAATGTAAGGAGAAATATTTTAGTAGTAAAGTAGAAGTAAAGGCAAACGAGTATCCGAGTACTGAAATTGTACTCGAGTACTCGAGTACACGAGTACATTGTACTCGTTGCCATCCCTATTCTATATAAACATTATAAGATGAATTTTGAAAAAACAATTTATTTACATAATATGTACCATATCAGAAATTTTGGACATATTTTGGAATGTTTTAACTATAGGTCATCCCCTTAACATACTGATATTGTTTTTGGGTAAACATTTTTTTCGGCAATTTATCCCATTAACTGTGAAGTTTGGTACCCAACAGAAAACTTATTTTTCTATTGAGCGAGAATGTACAAATAAAAAGATGTGGTATGACTGATTATGAGACAACTCTACACCAGAGATAAAATGACGTATAGGTAGCAACTATAAGACATCGTATGGTCTTCAACAATGAACAAACCTCATACGGCATAGTAGGCTATAAATGCCCCGAAAAGAACAAGCGTAAATCAATTTAAACGAGAACGCTAACGGCCTGATTTATGTACAAAACAATAATCGAAAATCAAATTGCGATATCCAGCAACAAACGACAACTACTAAATAACAGGCTCCTGATTGCGGACAGACAAATACAGAAAATTAGAACAAACTAAGAAAAACCGTTTAAAAGAGCTTAGCTCGTCAATTAAACCTCATGAATAAATGTACCTTCACAGATTAAGTATTCTATCTATGATACGTGGTTTTGAAACAAAGATCCTTTAATTATCAGTTGTTTGATATGCATTTGGATAATAATGGTTCTAATAAGCACTAATGCCTTTAGTTAATTAGTTGATAATAGTACTGATAAGCACTAAAACAAAAATGAATACAAGATATCCCCGAAAATTTGTGACATTCCCCTTTAAACGCTAACAATTCAAAGGAAACAAAAATCCTCTTGACCTAATAGAAATTTGCCTTATGTACAAAACCAGGTACATGACCTATAACATTTTTGTGTACAAACTTGGCTTGATAAGTTTGATTTTGGTTTAATCTCTCACTGCATTTTAATACTTACAATATGCGTTAAGTATTTTGAGTAAATTCCACTTAGTTACAAATCAAGTTCTCACTATTATTAAATTTTAGTTTGATCACGGGGCTAGTTAGTTAGTATATATCTTCATTTTGATACTAGCAATATGCTCCATGTACTGTAATTCTAGCGGAATAGAATAAATTCATCTTCATAGTTAAATTGGTTATCGAAATGAACCTCTTTAAACAACTGTATATGAATTAAAAATTTCCTGAAAGTAGGTAAAATTGTCGTAAAGAAAATGTTGGTTTACCTGCATTCTCATACTAGCATTACGCTGCATATATTTTGATGCTAAATAAGCTTTCCTGTCTTCTTTTTGTTGTGCTAGAGTCACATAAATTGATCGTTCCCCAACGATTCTTCCGTGCATTTCTCTGACAGCCTTAGTGGCTTCCTCTGGAGAACTAAAACACACAAAACCAAATCCTTTGGATCTTCCACCTTCTGTTCTTTTAACCTACAAGTAACAGTGTAATTAAAAAGTCAAATATATTCCAATAAATAAGTGTTTTTTTTTTATATTAACATATTACCCACGGAAGGCACTTTAAAGATAAGGTACAGCCAATAGAGTCCATCACATGTTAATAATATAAATGAATAGTTGACACCCACCCATAGTTGACATTAAGAAATTCCTTGTGTCTGATGTTTATTTAAATGGAACAGCCCTTAATCTGTGTGTTTACTATTTACTTGAATTTACTCTTATAGTTTATTAATTGATTGCTTGATTATTATTTTTTGTCATAAACCATTGCATATTTTCCTACATACCTTAGTACTTGTGATGGTTCCAAACTGAGAAAATTCCTTCCTTAGTCGTTCATCGTCAATGTTGTCATCTAAATACTTTACATACAGGTTTACTCCTTGGTATCGATTAATTCTATCCATTCGGATTCTCTCAAATTTGGCCTTAAGTTCAGCTTGTCTCTCAGCCCTTTTTTGGGCTCTGCCAGCAAACAAAGTCCTTTCATGGATGGTTAAACCGTTCAAATCTTCAACAGCCTGTTAAAAATAAAACTTGTTAATTTTTCTTGATATGTTGTCAAATTCATATCATATGTCCAAATTTACAAGGCTATAAAACATGTACTTATTTGAGTATGTCAGTGTTAACAAAAAATTCAAAAGCCTCGTTACCGTAGAAAAAAGTTCATATATAAGTCACTACTTAAAGAGTCTCTTCCAGAAGAGTAGCCATAGCAAAATTGTTCTGTGGAAATATTTGATTAAATACTTGTGCATACTGATTATTTTTTATTAAGTGTTTCCTAAAATTTCCTAAATCTATATGTGAACAAAGGGGTTTTCAAGTTATAGATCGGACATAATTTTAACAAAGACACACAATAATTGCTATTGGCCATGAACTGATTTAATTGGCAGAACTTAGTTTCATTTTTTTTTTTTCATTTGCTTTTGTGTGAATAGATGAAATGTCTACCTTAGCTGGGTATTTTAGTGATTTTTACTCTTAAATATAAACATACCTTTTCTGCTGCCTCTGGTTCTTCATAACTTACAAATCCAAATCCACGACTTTTACCGTCAATATCAGACATGATCTGTCAAAAATGAATCAAATAATAAAATCATTCTCATATATCGAAACATAAGTTTTCATTACCATCATTTAGTTACTGACAAATCAATTATTTTCACAGTACACACAATATGACTCAGTTAAACATCAAAAATGCTAGTTTTGAGTGATTCACAGTAAAATAGAATCATTGATCTATAGTTTTCATGTTTGGATATGGGGCCTAGCGTACATCTACAAAACCAATGGAATATGGTGAACTATTCCCTAGTGTATCACTTACAATCAATCAAAATCACCGTGAAAGTCTATCTTTGATAGTGATTTTTAACCAATTCTCTTTCTGTGTACCGTACCACAATCTGCGAATTATATGGTTCCATCAATAACAAAATAATTTAACCATTGGTATCCCGTACTGTAAGAGTTATACTTCTATCCATATCCAAATTCAATATTCATGTAAAATGCATGTTAAACCGTAAAACATTTTATGAGGGTCAGACTGGTATTTTTTGGAAATGTTTTATGCCTTAACAATGTCAGACATATTGTAACAATTTTACTTCCAACCACAAGTAAAATTAATTTAGGAATAGCTTAACAAATTATCAGCTGCCAAGATAATCCTATGTAGTGACTAGTCACTTCGAACAATGAAAGTAACTAACATACCACTACAAAACATCACAACAGTTTATCTAGCAACTATCACAAATTATAGTGGTCAGTTTATCCATACATGTCGAGTGGCTGTGAGTTACAGCCCACTACAAAACATCACAAAAGTTTACCTGGACACTACAAAACATCACAATAATTTATATGGACACTACAAAACATCACAATAGTTTACCTGGTCACCACAAAAACATCACAATAGTTTACCTGGCCATAACTTTAAATCACAATAGTTTATCTGGACATTACAAAACATCACATTATTTTACCTGGACACTACAAAACATCACAATAGTTTACCTGGACACTACAAAGCATCACGATAGTTTACTTGGAAACTACAAAACATCCCAATAGATAATATGGACACTACAAAACATCACAATAGTTTACCTGGACCTTCAAAACATCACAATAGTTTACCTGGCCACTACAAAACATCACAATAGTTTATCTGACCACTACAAAACATCAAAATAGTTTACCTGGACACTACAAAATATCACAATAGTTTACTTTGCCACTACAAAACATCACAATAGTTTACCTGGCCCTTACAAAACATCACAATAGTTTACCTGGACACTACAAAACATCACAATAATTTACCTGGCCCTTACAAAACATCAAAATAGTTTACCTGGACACTACTAAGCATCACAATAGTTTACCTGGCCACTACAAAACATCACAATAGTTTATCTGGCCACTACAAGACATCACAATAGTTTACCTGGACACTACAAAACATCAAAATAGTTTACCTGGACACTACAAAACATCAAAATAGTTTACTTTGCCACTACAAAACATCACAATAGTTTACCTGGCCACTACAAAACATCACAATAGTTTACCTGGACCTTCAAAACATCACAATAGTTTACCTGGACACTACAAAATATCACAATAGTTTACCTGGACACTACAAAGCATCATAATAGTTTACTTTGAAACAACAAAACATTACAATAGTTTACCTGGCCACTACAAAACATCACAATAGTTTACTTTGCCACTACAACACATCACAATAGTTTACCTGGCCCTTACAAAACATCACAATAGTTTACATGGACACTACAAAACATCACAATAGCTTATCTTGCCACTACAAAACATCACAATAGTTTACCTGGACACTACAAAACATCAAAATAGTTTACCTGGCCACTACAAAACATCACAATAGTTTACTTTGCCATTAAAAACATCCCAATAGTTTACCTGGCCACTACAAAACATCACAATAGTTTACCTGGACCTTCAAAACATCACAATAGTTTACCTGGACACTACAAAACATCACAATAGTTCACTTGGACACTACAAAACATCACAATTGTTTACCTTGCCGCTACAAAACATCACATTAGTTTACTTTTCCACTACCCCAAAATATAGTAGTAAGTCCTAATTCCACTATAGTTCGTCTTTAAACAAAATTCAAACACGTCCATACCCAAAGTCTTCCGTGAGGTTTATAAGTGAACATACCTTAACATTTATAAGTTTCCCGAATGGTTCAAATATATCTTTCAGTTCATCCTCAGACATATCATCCCTAAAATTCTTTACATAAACGTTATTAAATTTCTTCATCTTATCTCCACGAATTTCAAGACGTTCCCGTCTATTCGGGAATCGTCCTACAAACCTAACAAAAAAAGAGATCTTAGTGCAATAAAGTGTCAGATATTAAATTAATGTTAAAATCATGAACAGGTTTAAAACTTCGACCTACGAAAATAAAGCCATGTTTCCGGTATCATGCTGGAGGAAATGGATTAGGTAAGTAGTCAAATTATTAAATAGACAGGTGAAACCGTCTGATCTTAATAGTTCTTGTTCAAAGATAACCAAAACATACATTTCAAGAGGTAGGCGCAAAGAATAAGCGTTGGTAGGTAGGGTACATGGAAATTCATTTCTTTTTTATTAAGCATAAACATCTTAAGGATGTATATTGTCAATAGCTTATATCTCAAAATCAAGGACATGAATGTATAATTTGTTTCTGCTTTTGTAGTTCCATTATCTATATACTATCAACATATAATAATCGTTTAAAAAGTTTGTTATTTTGAAACAGAGTAACGAACAGTTTTCAAAAACTACAAATGAAATAAAGTGTATTAATTATAAAAAGACATACTAACTGTTCCCCTATTTACATCTAGATTATTGCATCTAAGCATTGTGTCTCATTCGTATCGAACATATACACCCTGTTTCTGCCTACTCAACAACACGTACTTATTGTGCATATTCATTATTGTTTTTTTCATTATTTGTGTACAATGATCCGCAAATTAGGTATTTGTACCTACCAAACCTAATCATAAATTATGATACCACATTTACATATAAGTTAAAAAATAAAAAAAAAAAAAAATTTAAAATTCTAATATTTTTGAGAGTGGACGATCAATTAATAAACACAACACAAACAATGGTTGCAAAGAAAGCTTACACTTTCTTTCCATTCAACAGCATCCCATTCTTTTTTTTAATAGCATTTCTGGCTGCGTCTACATTTTCAAAATGTACAAATCCATATCCACGGGATCCATGCTTGTCACAGACAATCTGAAATTAACACAAATCACTTACATAAACTTCATCTGATTTGTTCGCATGCAGGCCTATTCTGATAATAATCAAATAATCAAAATTTTCAATGAAATAATTGACAGAGATATGACTCATCAGTACGTAATTTGATAGTAAAATGCAAATGTTGAAATTAAAAAAGCAATACTTTGATATGTAAAATATACAAAATTTTCAAAGTCAATGAACCGTGACCCAAGTTACATGGCCACATTATTTCTGTGGAAATAAGATATGCCATTGTTTGTAGAGCTGCATATCAAATATCACTGACTTATTATAAATAGTTCACCTTAAACTGACCTAATCACAGACGCTAACATGTAAACTATGAAAAAGATTCAGTTACAATAGACCATGACTAAGAGTGCAAGGCCAAATAATCACCATGGAAATTAGATGCGTCAATGCTTGTACAGTTACAAAACTAAATATTAAGGACTTACCATTTGTGCTTTCCCTACAATTGGCATGATCACAAATTTTAACATTTAAACTTGAGTTGCTTTAAAGAAAAGTTACCATGACAGATACAACTGCATACCAAATATCATTGATTAACCATATGTGGTTCGCATAAAACTGACATAATAAAAACAAAAACAAATTGCCATTGCCAGATACATCATATCTTAGTCATGCTTGAGGGTGATACAAAAATTCTTGTAAATAAACTCATAAGAGGATTGAATTTGTGTACGCCGCAACGTCATCAGTGACGCTCGAATCAAAAAGGTTTAAAAGTTAACAAGGCCAAATAAGGTACGATGATGAAAATATTGTATTTTGACAAAATCTTTCTGACAGCTCCCTGTAATGTTAAGAATCCCAAGGAATTTTACCAAAATCTGATTTTATATCTTCATTATCTCTGTGCTTTAGTGTAGGTTGTTTTTGGTTTTTTTTTTTGCTACTGAATAATTGTAATCTCTTAAATAGATTTTTTTATTGAACAGTTTTCTTACCTTACAGGATAAAATATGTCCAAAGGCAGAGAAGGTATCGTATAATGCCTTATTGTCAATGTTTTTGTCAAGATTTCTGATAAATACGTTGCTAACACCAGATTTTCTGAGAAATGGATCTCTTTGTGACCACATGATTCTTATTGGTTGACCGTTTATAGTGTCAAAGTTCATTACATCGAGAGCTTTCGCAGCTGCAATAAACATGTACAAAACATTTTTATTTGAATATTTTGTGTTAGCCGAGGACAACAAGAAATGATTGTAGCAGGATGCTGTTACAAAGTCTCCAAAACAAATTTCCAATAAGTTTAAAGCCACTTGGACTCCCCTTATTATTCATTCAATTCATTTGGAAGGAAATTGCGGTTAAGAATGGGGATCTCAAACAATTACAAGTATCTGGAAAGTTATAAGTATTTCGGGTAGGGATGACCACCTAGGGATTTACAATAGATATCATTTAATGCATTTTGTCATTTGAAGAACAAAATATAAAGTTTATGAGTAGGGATTTCGACCTTTTACAAGATATCAGAATAAAAGGGAATGATAGGGTGTCTCTTGGAGATTCACCGTATATTTCTGTACCAAGTCAAGAAAATGACAGTTGTTTTCCATTCGTCTGATGTGTTTGAGATTTTGAGTTTGCCATTTGATAAGGGAATTTCCGTTTGTTAATTTTCCTTGGAGTTCAGTATTTTTGTTATTTTACTTTTTTTCATTTGATTGGTTCTATCTTGTCGAACAATTTCAATTCTTTAGATTCTACCATTTTGTATAAAGAATCGTCAAAATAATGTTCAAGGTCAAAGCTGACCTTTTAGCCTAGAAGTATAGTAAAACTTCCTTTCTATTAGTCCCTTAAAGAAATCTTTGATTGCACCACTAGACATGTTAGTGTAGCATAATGTGGAACTCTAAGTTAATCCGACTAGCGATTTAGCAGAACTGCTGCGGACAAGTTCAAGGTCGAAAAAGTGGTGGCAGTGGAAGAAATAGATTGGTTAATGTTTGGTGTTTAATGCCACTTTCAGCACTATTGACTTCATCTTGGTGGCCAGATTCTTGTTGGGGGAGGCCGGAGTGTCTGGAGCTACTGGCAATCTTAGTCAATTATTATTGCAGTCGAACGAACCTGCCATTTGTGGGGTTCAAACTGACAATCTTTTGTGTTACATGATAATGTATGCACTACTTAAATCACTTGGGTACCCAGAAGAGGAAGAGGAAGAAGAATAGTTAACATTGCAATTACAAGCAAAAGCAGATGTCCCACCGGTCCGACAATTACCAGAATTAAGGAAACCATTGTAAACGTTTTATAAATTGAATGCACATACGTGCATACAAACTCCTTTCTATCACATTCAGAAAATGTTGAGCTATTTTCGATATTTCATGTGTATGCTATTACCATAGTAATGACATCTTTAATAACAATTTCAAAGTCAAATGGCATATCTACACGTGTCAGTTAATATATCTGTATAGTTTTAATACGTCTCACTGGATTTGATCTAAAATTTTATTAGTAAATGCTTCTTAAATGTGATTTCCCATAATGTTCAATATTGAATTTTCAACCTGTTTATATGGCAACGGCAGCCATTTTGGGATTTTGGAAGTTTCAAATACTGTGTGCACATCTACATCTTACAGGCAACATTTCAAAGATCACAGTTGCATTTCATGTTTGGTATACTGTTCAAAACGGTCATAATCGCTTATAGGCATTTGTTTTGTGCGTCTTTGTACAAGTTCTCAATAGGAATACATATATATATATATATATATATAGACATTATATATATACAAGCAAGTCTAAATTCAAAACAACGTTCTAACCTATGATTGCGTTGGATAAAAACAGCAATTTTTTTTGTGTTCATGCAAAACAAGTTTCTTGGTAGAGGGGTCTAAATACAGCACAAACAACATTTTCCAAAAGACCAAAAAAGTGAAAAAGTATATTTTAACAAAACGCATTTGACTAGCAGGTCGAACAACGGATGTCCTTAAACCCTGCTGACTGCCATTGACGATTGCAAAATAAATGGATCACCAGATGTAACAAAATGGATCTTATTATCAACTTAATACCAAATTGAAAACAATAAACTTGCGGAAAAGATGGTATATTGCGAAAAAAAGGTGCAAAAATTAGTACACCATATCCGGATTTCGACAATTAATGTCTCTTCAGTGATGTTAGGAATCGAAACGGTATTTGGAAGCCATATCATTTAGGGTAGACTCTTAAATTTTGAAGAGTCGAAATAAGATGAGCGGAAGATATATTCTGTCTAAAGTAGCAACAATCAACATCCAGAGATCTGAAAAATCTTGTAGATGTTCTGCATTTCGTTCCATTTGATGTCGATGTCATCATTATAATGACAACCGACCTTCACAACAAAAAAACTTTAGTTGAAGCGGGTTTGCTCATCGGAATCAAAATTAACCTATCGTTTGGGACAACTTAGACAACAACTTAAATCAAGAGGTTACAAGAACAAAAACCTTTCAGAAGCTTTCGGTATAGCAAAAGATAAAGACAGAACAAACCTACTTGAACATGTTGAATACAAAGAAAAGATGGCCCAGACAATTAAAATTCCGTTTGTTGTCAGCTTTCATCCTGACCTGACAAATCTTTCATCTATTGTCCACAAACACTGGCGTCTTATTGAAAATGATCCTTCCTTAAAAGAGATTTTTCAATCACCTCCCGTGATGGCTGTCCGCAGAACCAAAAACCTCAAAGATATTCTAGTTACATCTTAAGTATCTAAACAAGAGACATCGACAATAGGAGGATATAAACCATGCGGATGAAGCAATTGTAAGTGCTACAAAGTCGGCAACATTGAAACCTAATTCGTCAGCACAGTCACAAAAGATAAATAAAACATATTTATAACATCTAATTGCAAAACGCAAAATTTTATGTATGTTCTAACGTGTGGAACTTGCAAGTTGCAATATGTTGGTGAAACAGAAACACCATTCAACATCCGACTAAATAACCATCGGTCATTTTACACAAAAGAAAGAAATTGCAAAATCAAAAGACATCTTTTAAAATAAGGGCATGATTTTGAAAACGTCACATTTCAAATCAATGAGAAAAACCAATATTGGGACACGCAAGGAAGACAAAAGAAAGTGAGATTTTTGATGCTCCAGTTACGGACTCTTGACCCTAATGGACTCAATGAGACGAGAAAAGATATAAAAACAAAACAAAATATTAATCTTGAAATCATACAATTTACATGATTTATAGAATATAAATAAATATGTTGAACTTTTATTCCAACTCTGTGTAGTTCAAGCTACCAAAATATTTTTTTTGTCATGCATCCGATTTCAACTTGATAGATGCACACGCCTGATGAAGCTAGTTTGTCTAGCGAAGTATTACGTATATCGATTTAAAAACTTATAGAACTTGATAATGTATCAAGTAGCGTGTTTTAGTTATATTCTTAGACATTTATATAATATATATATATATATAAGAAAATTAATAAAAGATAATAACGGTTTCGATTCATCACTTTTACTAGCGCTTTCACTGCTTTTACAGATCTTCAGGTAATTTGACTTGTATACATAAGTGTTATACAAAACAATTGATTGACGTTAACAATAGTATGAGGTTAACAAAAACAAGGGAGACCACTAATGTCATTTAAAAAAATGAGTAAAGTCTTTAAAGTGTTATTTAAGTAATAAATAAAATATTATTTATCATTTAATCCCTGGTTGAGAATGTTTATCAATAATTCTTCTTTCTACTTCCGGAAAAAATCATTTTGACGATTCACCATATACAATGGAAATATCTTAAATCGTCCATTAGAACAACGATGGAAATGGTCGTTAGACCGGATGATTGTTAAATCTTCATGGTCGGTTTGCTGCCTATGAACAGTCATTCTAGTACGCAGTTCATGTTTTGTCTCTCCAATATAGAATTCCTCACAATTTGAACATATGAGAGAATAAATGACGTTTGAACTTTGACAAGAGATGTTTTGTTTACTTGTGAAATGCTTTCCATTTTTTAAAATAAATTGAACTTTCTTCTATTAAATTAGGACATGTCATACATCGTTTATCGGTACATTTTCTAACAATAGGCAAAGTTTCACTAAAGTCGAATTTTGAAGATGTTAAATATCGTTTTAGACTTTTTGACTGTCTTTTACTGTTGATAATCTTCTTTTTTTGTAAAACTTTGTCCATTTTTTCACTTTTTTGTAAATTATTTTCAATTTGTCGCATGAAACTAAACTCATAATCTCGTGGATTATATGTTGTTACAAACGGGATAATTTTATCTAAATTGTTTGATGATTCTTCGGTTGGTTCGGATCGCCGTGATTCTGTAATGATTGGTCCTTTTATCAGTGCCTTTTGAATTCCGTAATCTATCACTTGTTCCGGATATTGCTGCTTTTTTAAATACACTTTTAATTCTTCCAATCTTTTATTGCGTAATAGTTCTGTACTTGTAATGATAATTATTCTTGACGCTAGATTGAAAGGTGTATTTAATTTTTTATGTTTTGGATGGTTTGAGTAAAAATTCAAATACATATGTGTATCGGTGTCTTTAGAGAAGATATCTGTGATAGTTTCATTGTCTTCCGTTATAAATACTAAAATATCCAAAAACGGTATTTTGTTGACATTTCTGATAATTGTGAAACAAATATGTGGATTTAAAGAATTTAATTCAGAATGAAAATCTGATACAGATATATCCGATTTCCAAATTATAAAACAATCGTCAAGAAATCGTTTCTTGTTTTGACGTATGTAAATTGCAAATTCATTTCCGTATTTATGGTCCATTTTTTCGTATAATAATTGTTTCAAATATCCAAGTATTAAAGTGGCGTATGAAGGCGCCATTTTAGTATCCATAGCTGTTCCTTTTTTCTGATGATAGTATGTGCCGTCAAAGTAAAAAATATTTCTTTCCAATATAAGTTTCAAAGATGCAAGAATAAATTCTTATGTTAATCTGTTTTCAATGACGTTTTCCGTATTTTCTAACCAATATTTTACGGCTGTAATTCCTAAGTCATGTGGGATTTTTGTGTAAAGACTGACAATATCAAAAGTAATGAGTTCTGAATAAGGATTTACAGTTGTTGGTAGATGATTTAGAAATTCCAAA